CAAAAAAAAAAAAAAAAAAAAAAAAAGAAACCATAAGGAATAATCACAACAACTACAGAACTCTTTTCCAAGTCATGGGAAGAAAAAACAATTACTTCTGGATCAGTTTAGTTTTAGTTCAGTTCTCAGCTTTAATCTGTTTTTCTTTCCCATTTACTTCTCTGTTGATAACTGCTCCTTCACTTTTCCCATCCTGCTGCTCCAGGAGCTCAGTGGGTAAATCCTCCCAGCTCAGGAGCAGCAAAAACTCCTTATTTGGGTGGCAGAGCAAAGCCAAGGGTCTGAGATCCCTGTGCCTTCTGATCCCAATAATCCCCATGTTGGAAGGAGGTGTCCTCAAAGCTCTTTTCTGTTAAAATCTTACAGATTTAACAGTTCTTCTGGAGAAAAAGCAGTAATTCGTGTGCTGCTCGTGGCCTGTTCCCCCCACCTCTGGCTTACCTTTGCTGTCTTGCACCAAGGTGGGAGAATGTCCTCATGGATGAAGGAGCTGTCTTCACCTCCCTAACTCAGTGATATATCCACTTTCTCTCTCATTTCACTCTCCCCACTCCTGAATTTAAAGGCAACTTCACAACCTTTCATCCTCTCAACGCTTTTTGTCAGGTGAAGAAAACAATTAGTCCTGTTCCTGAGCTGAGGAACTAAAAGTCTGGCAAGTTTAACTATAGACAAACCAGTTGCTGCTCAAGTTACTGCGCAAGTACCAACAGGCTGTTCTGCTCCAACATAGCGGCCTTTCTTTTTTTTAATGGTCTTTTTAAAACATATATATCTCACAACTCCCAATCCTAATCACAGAAACTTTCAGCAATTTCCCTGGGGTCACACAGAAAGTTTGTGGCAAAGCACTGACAACCACTGGGTCATAAATCCATCAGTTCCAAAACGTTCGCACCTCAACGTTCAACCATCCAGCTCTACCACGTCCTTTGGGTTTAAACTGCTGCCAGCAAGGCCTGCTCAGAAGGACAGGCACACGTCCTGCAGCCCAGGAGTTCCCCAAATCCTTGTTTGTCTCCCTGCAGTGCTCTCAGAGTAATCTGAAGGTTTTTCTCCCTGTTACCTTGTGAGTAAACACCAAAAGCGCGAAGGGCCGCAAATAAACCTTAAATAAACTTTGCATTTCATCGGTGAGCCCCAAGATTTCATCCCAGGCTCTTGCTCAGGCTCTCCTGTCTTCCTGCAGACACACAGATCTGAGAGCACACACCCAGTGCCACAGTCCCCTCAGCACTCCTGGGATGGCCACGGCTGCTGCTCCTTTGGGGGATCTCCAGAGAAACCCACCCAGAGCTGCACAGCGATTCATGAACGTCATCAGGGACGAGGGGGGAATTTCTGCAGGGCAGAACTCATACATATCAAAACCAGAGAGACAACTCTGATACAGGTGCTGGAGGTCCTTCAAGGTTACCATATGCCACTGGATTAATCCCAACAGTCTAAAGGTAGAGGTGAGAAACGTTCAAATCATTTGATTAACTTCAAAAGGGAAGATTTTTACGCCTCTACCTTTTGGCACCCCACCTCTGCTCCCATGCCAGGAAGAACCAGAAACCTCAGAAGAAAGCCAGCTCCAAACCTCTGACCAGCAGATTCCAAACGTGTTGCAATCTTGGCTTGCAGTCAGCCAATTCTGAGAAGGGAAAATCAGTGCCAGTGTTACAAGAAGCGCCTGTCAGGAGCCTCTTTATTGAAAAGAGTTTGGTTTTTTGTTTTTTTTTTTTTCCTTTTAAGTGGAACTTGGGACAGCCATGGAGAAATATCAAGGGTGCATTTTGCACCACTGAAAATTTCTGACAAACGGGCCAATTCCCTCCCAGTTTCTCCTCTGCTCAAACAGCCTCTCACAAACACATCGTGGCTGTCAGTGGTCACCCGCAGAGAATGATCTGTACCGACCCGCTGCGGCTGACCAGAAGGCAGGATTTGCCATGAGCTTGCAGAGTCCTATTCCAAGTATTCCCAGTGAATTTCCCCTTCTCCCTTTCTGCCCAAGTGAAAGTGAAGCAGAAGCTCTGTTGGCTGCTGGGACTCATCCTGGAGGGAGCACTCCGGGAACGGACAAATCCTCTGACCGGGGCAGAGCCTCAAACCCCAGGAAGCCGCAGTCAGAATCAATTCTCCCTCCGAGCATTCCCACAGAACTGGGAGCCTGGAAGTCCCAGCCATTGGATTAAAGCTCCTCCTGGAAGTTTCTCTCTGTGGGACTATAAGGGCTCTAAATCCCCACTGTGTCCCACAGTACCTTCGAGCTGGGAAGGTTGAAAGGAGCAGCGATGCCACTGCAATTCAACCTGTCCCCAAAGCTCTGCTCTGCCTCCAACCCACTGCTTGACCTTCCACAGGTTTTCCTCTGGCTGCCAGTCGGCAAACGGAGCAGGGAACAACAGGCATTGCCCTTTAGCAGGGGCAGGAGATAATACACCACCCCTGGAGGTGCAAGAAGCTCACACCAATAAATCAGGGAGATTAAACGCGGAGGTTTGCGTAGGTGCCCGGTTTATATCCCATAATCCCACTCCAAAGGGAGCTTTCCTGCTGCCACTCCCTAGCAACCCAAGCAGCTTGTTTCATGACTCCCCGAGCGCCTTCAGGTGGGGAGGGCTGAGCGAGGTGTTGTGTGGGCCACGGGGAGAGGAACAGTTGGGCTCTGCAGCTGAGGGGCTGCAGGTGAAATCAGGGCACAGACACACCCCGGGGAGGATCCGTCCCCCCCTCCCCGTGGGCAGGAATCCACAGCACGGGGCAGACGGGCACAATTAAAGTAGTTTCCAACCTGAAAGGCTGCCTCACGCTCCCAGGGAGTGATGCAATGTAACAGGCTGGTTTCCAATTTCAAAAAAAAACTGGAACAGAACCTTCACTGGTGTGTTTTAAATTCAGCTGTCTGTAGTGTAAATAATGTTCCACCTGAATGTGCATTTTAATTCTAATGGCAGCTGATCAGTCTGTTCAGATGGTAATTCTCACACTTTGTTCTATGAAGCAACAGCCTATGCTATAAATGGATTATTTTTGTGTAGCAGTGTATTTTTTTCTGAGTGAATAAATAAATTAAAAAAAAACAACCCATACCAGGTAAATCAGGAGTCTACAAAGGGCTAAGCCAGAAATTGTTATTATTTAATTACTGGTGCACAATCTGCAGGTCCTTGGAAATAAATTCTTTCTTTACGGGAAAGCATGAAGAGCATGAAAATGAGGGGATTACTGAACAGAACAAAGATTTCAAAACAAGGAGAACTGCACAGAACCTGGAAATTTAGGAGCTTGGCAGAGCTCCTTCCCAACCCACCCTCCCCAGCTGCTCCTCCCAGGCCAGTGCAAGTCAAAAGAAACTGCTGCTCAAGAAACTGCTCAGGGAAGACAATACTGGGCTGATACCATGTCCTGGTACTATTTTGGCCACCAAATGAGGCTGTTCTAAGTGCTCTCCCGGTCTCACCAAGAAGAGCTTTTAAATTTCCCCAGAAAACCTTTCTATCCACACACAGACAAGTTGTCACGTGGTCTGGTGTGGACAGTGAACCAGGCAGTTATTTGTAGGTGTTTTATGGACTCCAGGCTCTTCCTACAGAAGCACAGGCACCATCCACCCCTGGCAGGATGCTGTGTGAAACCCCTGCAGTGAGACAAGCAGGCTCTAACTCACAGCTTCCCTCCGTTCCGTGCTTGGCTCACGTCGAGCCTGCTGGCCCCGGATCTGTGCCAGC